GGGCGGCGCAGGGGGCGCTCCGAAGCCGCGTTCCGCGGGGCAGAGCGCTTTCCCGCGGCCGCACGGGGCGGCCGGGCGGGCCCTCCTGCCTTCCCCCGGGGCGTACCGCGCCCGGGCCTTGAGGCTTGTTCTCTTTTACTTCCCACGCAGCGCGGTTAATGTGGCACCTGGAAAGCCGTTCCCATCTTGGTATCTGCTAGAAAAGAGGCGGTTCCACTTTCGCAATTGCAGAGGGAAACGTTAAATACTTAACTGAGAAGGTTCGGAATTTTTTTTTCTGATTTATATCCTGCCTTTTCCTACAAAGGGCTCAAGGCAGCTTACATCATTCTCCTCCTGCATCTTATCCCCACAACAACAACCCTGTGAGGTAGGCTGGGCTGAGCGTCTGTGACTGGCCCAGAGTCAGCCAGCTGGCTCCGTGGCCCAGCGGGGACTCGAACCCAGGTCGCCACCCAGGTCACCTGAGTCCAGTCCCAGCTCTTCACCACTGCGCCACACTGGCTCTGAATTAATAGTTGTCACTAAATCTAGCCATCTTGAATTTCAAAAATCCTTTTATTTTGGCCATCATATGACTATGGGGTCTTGTGAAGGAAGGAAGGAAGAAAGGTGTATCTCCCTTTATTTATAACAAGGCTTCTCTCCCCTGTGGCATCACAACCTCCAGGGACTTGTTACGCTATAAACTGTTTGAATTGGGCTAACTCAAAGAAATGAATGTGTCTCGATCTGACCTCACGTTCCACTCTGAGTAGCTGAAGCAGCCTTGCAAAGCCAAAAGCCTTGTGATGAATAGATACGGGGAACTTCAGCTGGACTGAGGTTTGGATATGTTCCATTGTCATTTAAATTTTCTGATTCTTTTACGTTCTTGCTGTTTTCTTTCTTGACAGCTGCCTTGGATGCTCCATTTATTGGAACCATAGAGGTAACAAATCTGATCTCTTCTTCTACTGGTGGTTTAGTTACTGGGTGGGTTTGCACGTAACACCAACCCACCCTAGCAATAAGCCAAGGTGGGTTGGCTGTCGTGTGTGAACAATCCAGAGTGAGCCCAACAGGTGACCAGGCTCATGTTGGTTGCTGGCCCCCTCCCCACTGGTCTTCCCATGGAGGTCGCAGAAGACCCCCTGGGCGAGTCTTGTCCCACGCTCAGCCACCTTCACAAGCCATATCAGGTCATTGTGGCTTTCTTCTTGTAAACAGTTTACTCTGGAGGTTGACAAAGATGCCGTCTGGGGCCACCCACCACTTTTTAAAAAGCATACAATGTTGTGCATGAAATTTCTAATTTTCTGTGAGCATAATTGTGCTTTCAAATTAACAACACATTGCACAATTCCAATCTTTCGCAGCAGTACAACTGCAGGGATCTAACACCTCCACTTGGTCAATGCGCCAGGGGATGGGTCTGCTAAGGGGTACCCACCCCACACATTGTCTCAGCTGAGGCAGGTCCTAATCCATTCTCCATCCTTAGGTTCTTCCTAACAACTTGCAGAAGACAGCTGCCAAGAGAAGCGAGAGGCATGAGGGCTCCTTTGCTGAAAGGGCCAAGAAGACCATTGGGTCCAAGTCACACCGTTCCACTCAGAGGCTGTCCAGTCTCTTTTTGAATGCCTCCAGTGCGGGAGAGCCCCCCACCTCTCCAGGCAGCTGGTTCCACTGCCGTATTGCTCTGACAGGGAGGAAGCTCTTCCTGATGTCCAGCCTGAATCTGGGTTGTTGCAACTTGACTTGATTATTCCGTGTCCTGCACTCTGGCATCAGCAAGAAGAGACCTTGACCTTCCTCTTTGGGACAGCCTTGGAGGTACTTATAGAGAGGTACCATGCCCCCCTCACTCTTCTCTTCTCAAGGCTGAACATGCCCACTCCTCTCAGTCTCTCCTCACAGGGCAGTATTTCCAATCCCTGGATCATCCTTGTTGCCCTCCTCTGCACCCTTTCTAATTTTCCTGCATCTTTCTCAAATCTGGGTGCCCAGAACTGGACACAGGATTCCAGATGAGGTCTAATAGCATCAAAATGTGGATCACAAAAAGTGGTTTTTGCAATCTCCACCAAAGAAAATGCATTCATAAATGGGAAAAAGGCTCCAGAACAGTTTGTGCAGCTTGCACATTTTAGGGTAGCCCCATGGATCCTCCTGTTATGGGGCTGACTGATTCCCCCTGGGTAAAACAACCCCTAGAACAACCCATGGGCTGTTGGAGTAGCACAAACTGGCTTGGGAAAATTGGTGCAGGATTGCACAATAGAGCAACCTCCACGGAGATCAGTGCATTATGGCTGATCATGCCAGGCAGACCTGGTTTCTATATACTTAATGTAAATCCAGGCCCATAAAAACATCAGCAGGAAACAGGGTTCACATGTCAGCAACCCGAGATATTTCTCAGGACCAGCTAGTGCAAGAGCAAGAGATGCAGGTTACCCAAGAGCACTCCCCCTGAAAGAAAATTCAATATTTTAATTTAATTTAATAAATCATTTCTAACCCGTCCTTTACAACAGCGTCTCAGGATGGCTTAGAAACATAAAATCCACAACAATGATAAAACAATTCATAATATCCTAACAATAATAAATAATTAGCAATAATAAATTCAATCAATAAAATAAGAATACAGTAAAATATTTTTTTTTAAAGCGACTGTTAACTCTAAAATCCCTTATTCTTAAAATGATGTTCAAATAAAAAGGTTTTCACCTGGCGCCGAAAAGAGTACAGACTTGGCGCCAGGCGAACCTCTGTGGGGTGCGCATTCCACAATCCGGCCGCCACTGCAGAGAAGGCCCTACTCCAAGCAGACGTCCTCTTTCAGGAGTAAAATACTTTAAAAGAAGAAGAAGAAACATCGGAATGTGATGAATGACAGCAGGTTTTCTCTCCCTGGACCAAAATGGGATTGCAAAATACGGAAGAGAAGCCCAGAGAAATAATTCACTTTTTCTTTTTTTCCCATTCCTAGAAGAGCAGGGACACAAACTGAAGCCCTTGGAATGGATCTCGATCGATCGATCGATCGATCGTCGCTTGGGCCGCCTGTTTGTTTGTTTTCCTGCTTAACCTCAAGGTAATCTGTCCTGAGCTGACCCTCGCAGCCCGTGGAGGAATGGGAGGGGGGAGGGGAGACACGCCCCTCTGCTGTGATTGGCCAGCTCTGCCTTCTGGCATGCCGGTATGCATGCATGCATTGCGGGGGGGGGATGGGAGGCGTATGGGGGAGGGGTGGTTTGGAGATCGATGGGGTGGAAGAGAGTCTATTTTTATAGCCTTTGATATATTCTGTATGGATCTGTGGGTTAATACTTTGTTCTGCTCATGGAAACACGCAAAGAAGCCGTTAATTGTTATCCCCGCAGCACTGGTGTGTGTGCGTGCGTGCGCATGTGCGTGCGCATCACACCGTGCTTCCCCCTCTTGTCCTAGGGATTACAAGTCGCTTGGGCAGGAATGGCCCTATGTCAAGCGGATTTGTCACCCTTGCTCCCGTCCTGCTGGGCACAGCGTTCCGCCTAGGCCCCCCCCCCCCCCCCCCCCCCCCCCCCCCCCCCCCCCGCGATTGAGCCCGTGCTGCAGCATCAGCACCAGAATGAGCCAAGGATGCAGCTCTCGCAGCATCCCTGGCACTCCGCTCCGTACGCCTGGCCTGGGCTCTCTCCCCTGCATTTCGGAGCCTGCTTTGGCCAGGGTGGGAATGGCTGTAGCAATGGCAGCCGCCACCGCATTTCTGCTTAAATCTCCATCAGATCAGGTAGCGCTGCGAGCAGATGGCGACGCAAGCGGCAACGTTCCTGTCCGGACTGGCAGATAATCCTGCGGTCAGCAGCTGCTGGGCCCATGTGATGCCAGGGGGCAGCAGGAAGACCCAGTCCAGCACCTGAAGGAACACGGAGGGCGGAGGCAGAACGCTTGGTGAGCTGGGTGGAGCGGGTGGCAGTTTTTGTGTGTCTTTTTGTGTGTTTGATTTGTTTCTCCAGCACTACAAGCACAACTTGTGCGATAGGGCATGCATTTTGGGGGCTCAGGAAACAGAATACAGCAGGGGCTAACTTTTCCTGGACTGACTGCTGTGAAGGAAAGAATGGAGAAGGCTGCATAGCTGGAGATGTGAAATTAGACAGAGCTATTCAGTAGATAGGCAGATAGGTTAAGTAACCACATTTCTTTTATACAAAGGTATTTCTCTGAAATAAAGAAGAGGAGTCTGATTTAGATAGCTAAATAAGCAATGCTTTCTTTGTTAGGAAGGCTGACACCGTACTTGTTCCACAGAATGACAGGTGTGGACCATGAAAGACGGAGAGGCAGAACAAGTCTCACTTTCCTGTCAAGCAGCTTGAGGCAGAGATGCCCCCAGCACCCTTCCCCCCCAGCTCTCAGTTCTGCCTGGAAGAGCCACTCAGGGCTGCTCCTCTTCTGACTCGGGAGCAGGAGTGCGTCCCACCCTGGCTTTGGCTTGCGGTCATTGCTTTCCACCCTCATGAGGTTTTCTGCACTGCGTGCTGCAGAAGGGTCTTGACGCGTCAATTCCATCTGGAGCAGAGAAGTCAGGTGAGGCGAAGGGACACCTTTGTCTCTCTCGTGAGCCCAGCTGGGCTCTTCCGCACTGGTCCTGGAGTGCAGAAGCGGGACGGGCGTCCGTGGCGATGCCGTGCTTGGAGAGCCGTGCACCGAAGCCTCGGGAGATGCAGGACAGATACAGCACGGCTGTCGAACCGAGCCGTGGGGACAAAGTTGGGCAAAAGGCCTGAGGGGTCCTGCGGATCAGGCCTGACTGAAGGCTAAGCTCACCCTTGCTAAGCCTAGACCTGTTGCACACATGTACAGTAAGCCCCATGAGGTACTCTGAGCCCAGTTGGACAGAAGCCATCTTCTTCAGGAAGGAACGCTTTGTGACTGTTACTTATGAAGAGAGAGGGGTGTGGAGAGAGGGCTGGGGCATCGGAATGCAGTACCAAAATCTGAGACAAACATGACTTCCTTACTAGGAAGTGTTTTAGCACTTACAGTGAACTGCAGAATCATAGAATAGTAGCGCTGGAAGGAGCCAGAGGGTGCAACCCCCTGCTCAGGGCAGGATTCCCACTTAAGTCCATCCCTCTCAGAGGGCTGCCCAGCTGCATCCTGAATGCCTCCGGTGCAGGAGAGCCCACCGCCGCCCGAGGTCCTGGGCTCTGTTGTCACATGTCCCTAACAGGCAGGAGATTCCTGCTGGTGTTCAGCTGGAATAATTTCCTGTAACTTGAGCCCATTATTCCAAATCCTTTATTCTAGGATAATTGAGAAGAGGTCCTGCCAGTCCTCTGTGTATGAGCTTCAAAGAAGTTGAAGAGCACTATCGTATCTCCCCGCAGTCTTCTCTTCAAAATAGGCATGAGCATGTTTGCAGCATCTCACAGGGAAAAAGAGCATCTTTGCTGCCCTTCTCTAAGCCCTTTCTAGCATGTGTGCATCTTTCCCAAACTGTGGTGCCCAGACCTAGACACAATGCTCCAGATGAGGCCTGAGCAGTATGAGTATATGAGAAGAAGTACTTCATGGGATCTGGAAGTCATGCTGCCATTAATGCAGCCTAAAATGGCATTTGCCCTTCTTGCAGCCACATCACATGGCTGACTCATCTTCAGCTTGCGATCTCCAACAATGCCAAGATCCTTCTCATTCGCAGTCCTGCTGAGCCAAGTGTCCCCGTCTTGTAATGATTGCAGCATCCAGGTAGTTTGCAGTGAGAGAGGCTTTCCGTCAGGTATTGTGGGCCAATGCCATGCAGGAATTGATAAATCAAGCCAGCACCCTGAACTGGGCTCAGAGGCATAGAGGAAGCCAGTGC